AATCAATTTATTTACAAGGTGTTCTTGATGGTACAAAAACATCAGCTAGTCCTTATCAAGGTCAAAATGGATCAATAAGTATAGGGACATCATATTTATCTTCCAGTTCATTTTATGGTTATATTGATAATTTGAAAGTAACAACAAGAGCAAAATCAGCTAGTGAAATTCTTGTTGATGCTTCAGTTGTTGTTTATTTTTCATTTGATGGTTCAACATTAACACAAGATATGGGACCAAATCAATTGAATGGTTCACTATCAAATGCTATTTCAGTTATTGGAAAAGTTGGTCTAGGTTTAGCATTTAGTGGATCATCATCTTATCTTCAAATATATGGATTTTATCAATTAGGTCGATCATCGCAATCATTTTCATTTGCTTTATGGATTTATCCATATTCTGTCACAGGTGGAACATTGATTCATAAATCAACAGCACAATATACTAGCGGTAGTTGGTGTCAAGATATGATGGGATTAACATATATTGGCCAAATTGCTTTCTATACAAATGGAGGTGGTCGACAAATTACTGGTCCACTTATATCCACTTTGGAATGGACTCATATTGTTTATACATATAGTTCTACTAATGGTCAGATAATGTACATTAATGGTGTACAATATGCTGCAACGGGATCAATGAGCTTTTCGTCAAGTGGTACTATTGATTGGTTAACTGTTGGTCATAATATTGTTGGATGTTCACCGAGTCCTATTTCTGGTGGTGCATTTTTTGGAATTATTGATGAATTTTATGTATATCGACGAGAATTATCTGCTACTGAAGTGTACACTCTAGCTAACCCTTAAAAACTACTCATGAACGAATGCTATATTACGACTTTTATTGTATTATTTATAAGAAAACTATATAATAAAATAAATTTTATAAAGAAATATTTCTTTTAGCTTAGATCTCTAGAACTAACACGGCCAACGAGAATTATTTCATATAAAAATAAAAGCGAATTTGAATGCAGAAGCTTGATTGAAATAAGATATTAATTGGAAAAAAATTGATTTATAGGATATAACGCTAGTTGAAAATCGATTTGAAACATTTTAGTCGTCGATCATCAGTTATTATATGAATATCAACATTGTCTTCTTGTCGTTTTGAATCATTCTAGTATTTAATTATCATAAAAGTTATCTATTCATGTTCCTTTTTTTATTACATTCGATGATTGCTTTCTAATGCAACTGATAAATATTTCAAAAACAACATTTATAAGATTCATGTTGCCAATGAATATAAGAATTAGTTAATATTATCTTTTATAAAACAATGTGAAGTATTTATTTTAATGAAAATCAAAATTATAATATTTTATGGATTGGCTAAAGCAACTATTTCACTAGCACTCAGTTCTCGTCGATAGACATAAAATTCATCAATGGCACCTAAATAAGGAACACCACTTATTACACCTTGTCCACAATAACTGGATATATAAGAGCCAATACTGAGCCAATCAATTCTCGACGATGATGACCATGATGCGGGTCCAGTAGTACCAAACAATTGACCATTGATATACATTTGAAGACCATTTGTTGTACTATATGTATAACCAAGATGGGTCCATGTACGAACTGTTAATATGGGACCAACAATTAATGGTACACCAGAAGTGTAAACAAGCATTACAATTTGACCGAAAGACGTGAGACCCATCAGGGAATAACACCAACCACCTCCACTTTGCGTTGCTGTTTTCTGAATTAATATGCCGCCAGCAATTGAATATGGATATATCCACATGGAAAATGAAAATGGCTTATTAGACTGACCTAATTGATAAAAGCCAAATGCTTGAAAATAAGATGATGATGATCCACTGAATGCTAAACCTTGACCAACTTTTCCACTAACTGCAGCAGCATTTGATATTGTACCATTCAATTGATTTGGTCCCATATCTTGTGTTAATGTTGAACCATCAAATGAAAAATAAACAACAACTGAAGCATCAACAAGAATTTCACTAGCTGATTTTGCTCTTGTTGTTACTATCAAATTATCAATATAACCATAAAATGAAGTAGAAGATAAAAGTGATGATCCTATAATTATTGATCCATTTTGACCTTGATAAGGACCAGCTGATGTTTTTGTACCATCAAGAACACCTTGTAAATAAATTGATT